TTGAATATCTATTGTGTTATTCTCTGCTACCGTGTTGTACCTTAGTTATTTTGCAGAAGATTCACATGTTGTAGTAGATTGCAATCCAAAAAATAGAGTTATACCATATGTTTTAAATGATTTCACTTAATCTTGATATCGTGTTTTGCGCGCTTCATGCTTTCTTATTTGTAATATATAACTTAATTTTATATGTTACAACTCTAAATTAAGAGATAAAGTTTGTTTTTTTATTTCCTTCCATTTTGTTTTCCTTGAATTGGTATTGTTATAAAGAGATAGTCGTTTACATAACTTTATTTTTCTTATTGTGAAACTGACCTCCGTGCAACGCACGGGTGAAATACTAGTTATTGTACTAACCAAATATTAAATAAGATTTAATCATGGCTTATCTAATCATATTAAACCAATGTCACAAAAAACAAGAGACAATAATGTGAAGGAATGTCACAAATGTTTTTCATTCATATTCTAACCATATAAAAATAACATTTACTTACGCATATAATCAATAGGAAACATATCCATGATGAATTTTGCTTCTTGTTTGCTTTTCAAGCAGCATCATTTTATTCTTTTTCTTGACTAGTAGTGGGTACAAAGGGGGTTTCATAATCAGGGTGAAGTGAACAACCGTCTAAACTCCCAAATCGATTCATTGTACTGCTTTCGTTGTATTTGGCATACTCTACGCGAAGTCGATACCATTTGTTCCACCTTTGCATAAAATTTTCCACCTATAATACATACATCAATAATTGAGAATTAATATAAACTTTTTCGAGAGATTCCTTCAACTTAAACAAAACCTTCTGGAAAAAAAAAAAAAACATAACTTACATTGTGCTTGCAGTAGCAGGAAAGCTGCATTGGATCACTAGGGATTTCATTTGTAATAGGGGCAAAATCAGTATCCGACAAGCATTCCGCAAACATTGCAATCTGCGATTTCAGTCAATCATTTAAGATACTCACATAAGCATAATAATAAAAATTATGACAAATTAACAACAAGAAAAAATATAAAATATTAAAGAATCAAGTCAAGATTGATGATCAAGTAATCTTTTACATATTTCACATGCTGCCAAATCAAAAATACAAAACAAGAGCTTCGAATGTGCCTTGTGGTTTACCCCCACCAAACAGGAAGACAAGGAAAAAAAGAAAAAGGAAAAATTTGATCTGAAATCACATCAGAAAATTAGAATGGCGAAAACAGGGAAGATAACAGAGAGAAAAATTATATTTGACAGAGACAAAGAAATCTTTACAAATCTGGTGAAAATCAGAAGATTGTGTTATATTGCTCTTTCGTATTATGGAGGACCTGTAAGTTGTATAGACGTTCTATGCCTAGTGTATTCCACTTTCTGAACGGTAAATATGACACATCAGATTTCTTTTTCTGCCAACCAACACGAATTTTTCAAATTTTAATATATTGTATTACTATTGCATCTAGTTAGTACCTCGATTACATATACACACACACACACACACATAATCATAATTAAAAATACGTTAGAAATTCTCATGATAAAATAAGTTAGCTAGGGTTTATTAATTGAGAGATTACCTTTTCACAATATTTTTTTTTCATATTATCCTTGATAGCAATTGCTTCTATGCAAACATGAGAGGCAGCTCTGTAATTGGCTTGGAGTTTTTCCACTTGTTCTGCGGCATCATCAATTTTTTTCTTGAATTCCCTAACAGCTGCTTTAGCTTTTATGGAACTATCGGTCAATATAGCAAGCTCCTTCCGTAAAACAACCTGCCACCAAAACCAGATAGCAAAATCATTCTCCGCTCTAATATGTATGTATGTTTTATAGATATAATCAAACAAGTTAACGAAACATAATATATAATATCACCTATGTATGTATACCTTTAAAAACTCTTCGGCCTCCTCTCTCACTTCACGATACCGACGTTGGCTCTCCAATGCAATAACATCATGTTTTATCTTATTTTCTAGGTCACATATCTGCAAAATTTAATCTTTTTAGGAAAAAACCAATCTTTTTTTTCTCTCTAATCCAAAAGAAAGAATAGAATTTCCATGCATACCTGATTATTGATATGCACAATAGATAATGCATTTCCCAGTTTGGTAACAATAGATTGCAGATGATCTATTTCATTAAGCTTTGCCTTCAACAAACCACTTGCATTTATGTCCTTGATGTTGAGAAAATTATAATAAACACGAAGAATTTCATTGTCCGCCTGCAAATTGACCAAGAATACCATTACATTTGTGACATAAAAAAACAAAATCAATTAATGAAAAAAAGACGACTTACTAATTTCTCTTCGATTTGTAACTGAATAGCATCCCTGGTTTTGATCTTTTCATCAATTTGTAGCTCCTCAATTGCACGTAGGAGCGATTCGTGGAGAGAATCCCTACTAATCGGTGGGAATTTAATCAAATACCTGAATGACTCTGTGGCAGCGTCAATATTCATACTGTCTCTGTGACACAAAATAAAATCTTTAGGAAAAAGAAAATTAAATCAGGAAGACCAATCAATTGTTCAGCTTATTCTTTCTATATATATATTTAAATTTTGAGAGTCTAATTCAAAGAAACAAGGGATGGTGATTATGTGAGTCTAATTCCAATAAAAATAAATTAAAAAAGAAGAAAAAAAAAAAGAAACTCTGAAAGTAAATCGAATTGCGAAATATAATTTCTAGCAATATGGGTATTTGAAAAGGGATCTTAAATATTCTAATCTCGTTTCAAACGAGAAGCCCCAAAATCTGATTATATCAAAATTCTAAACAATATATTTTTGCAGCAAAAACCTAATCGGTTTCGATTCTGAACTACCAAATCGAAGAAAAATATAACAAGAACAAAAACAAAAAAAGGTACCTTTACGGGAGTAGAATGAGATTTCAACGGAAGAACGGTAATTGATTTACAGATCCAGAAATCGAAGGAGAACAGAAAGCGCAGGATAAATTTTAGATTGTAGAAAGGAGAGATGAACGGGGAGATATATATATATATATATATATATATATATATATGCACAGAACAAGACAAAAAAGGAAAGGGAATAAGAAATAAAAGGGTAAAAAAGGTATAAAAATGAAGAAAAGCAAAAAGATAAAAAAAGGAAAAAAAAAAGGAAAAAAAAAAAAGAAACGAAAAGAAAGAAAGACCGCAGCGGTCTACTTCTTAGAATTTGCGCTTTGGTCCTCAAAGTAGGGGTTTTAGCCTAGTTTTTAGAATATATAGCAGTTTATTGTATAGAAATTTAATTTCCTAAATTATAACATGATTGCTATGGTAAATAGGAGGTTCTCTATAGGAAATTCGAGATACAACCGTGATGTTGTGGCACACGCTTCAGATATTACCAAGTTTTATTTCAAAAATTACCAAGTTTTATTATTTAAAAAATTACCATGTTTTATTTCAAAAATTACCAAGTTTTATATATTATTGTATTTCAATTTCCTAAATTATTTGATGGACGATGATTATATAAAGGCACCTAAAGCTATTGTACTACATATATTATGAATAAGTGTCTATAAGTTTCCAACAACTAGAAAAACACGATGAACATGCTGTGGTTCGGAGAGTTCAAATATGAAACTAAGATTGGAAAAATGACGATAAGTGATCACGAAGTAATCGGAAGAGGAAGGAACACCACTGTATTGGAAGGAATTTACGATGGTCGTTCAGTGACTATCAAACGTTGTGGTCGATCGGTGGACAATGATATTTTGTTGAAGAAACAGGCCGATGCTATGATTATATATGATGTTCATCCAAATATTGTTCGATACATTGGAAAGGAAGAAGATCCATATTTCACATATCTCTGCGTAGAACGATGTACGTACAACTTAAGTGATTTCATTTGCCAAAGCCCTTTGAAATCCAAGTTGTGGACGATTATCGGCACTACATGCAATTCACCTGAGCCTATCCTCTATCCATCTGCACTTTTTTTACAGTTGATGAGGTATTCTCTAGACTATTTTTTATGTTAAATATTGTTATTTATTTGTTGTTTTAATATTTGATGTTGAAACATCACTTGCTTGAGTTGTTATTTGTTTCATTGTTCATATTTGTCCTATTGGAGATTGTGAAAGCTTTAGTAAGCTTTATATATGTTTAGATCTGGTTTTGGATTGGAGATCGTTTTTGATGCTGATCTTGGTGAGAATTAGGAGATGAATGTGATGGAAAATTACGTGAAAAAATATATTTAAAAATGGAAAAAGAAAGAAAAAGTGAATAAAAAGTTGCAGGTTGCATGTTTCCACTTACCACAGCTAACTCTTAACCGGCGAGTTTTATATTTTAACATAAAATATGTATTAATTAATTATGGGAGCCTAGCCGCCAAGTTTTTATTTAATATATCCATTGTGCTACCTATTATTTATTATATGTTAATTGCTTATTATATTTTATTATATGTTAATTGCTTATTATACGTTAATTGCAGGGACATTGTAATGGGATTGGATCATTTGCATTCAAAGGAATTTGTTCACGGGAACTTGAAGCCCACAAATATTTTAATAATTGAAGAAATAATGTGTGCCAAAATTTCATTAGACAATTGCCTAGGTGAGAACTATATAATTTTTTTTTCTCATGTATTTCCATTTTGGTTCCTTATTTTTTTTTTCTCATGTATTTCTATTTTGGTTCCTTATTTTTTTTTTCCAATAGGATGTCAATCGAAAGAAGCAATCACTAACGGAGAACAAACTTTTGCCGATGACTTATATAGTCTCGGACGTATATTGCTGTTTTGCATCAGCAATGGCAAATGCCCTTTTGCAGAATCATTGTCTGAGCATGAAATGCAAATAGCCAATAAACAAAACATTTTGTTGATAGATATAGTAGAAGCTAGGGATCTCATCACTCGACTTCTCAATGTTAAAGCACCCTCGAGGTAATTTCATTAAATCTTATGTTTTCGTTTTAATTTGTTCCATTTTATTAAATCCACATATCACATTTAATTATTTTTTTTGAATAGAAAAACGAGTCCTATTATTATTTCAAAATAAGGGGTCAATACATGATTTCATTAACATATTTAAATTTTATTTGAAATTGTTGTATAGGCTAAACTTAAAACAAGTTGTAAATCATCCCTTGTTTTGGGACGAAGAAAAGAAGCACTTGTTTCGGGTTTCGGGTTTCGGGTTTCGGGTTTTCGGGTTTCGGGTTTCGGGTTTGCGATTCCGCATTTTCGAACTGGCGACCGGGCCCGGGACCACCGTATCAGCTTTTGTGCGATTTAGAAATTCGAACTTTCGAGCTTCGTGGAAATATCAACTTCCTAGTTTCCTAGGTTAAACTCTCATACGCCCACAAGACCTCAGAACATAAGAGCTAAAATCTTAAGG